AGGTCGTTGCCGTAAAATTTCAGCCTCCTAGACTCCATGGTCCCCGAGATATTAATTTACCCGTAAAAAACTTTCACGGGGCCGTACGTGTTACTCGCGGGTATGGGAAGGCTGAATTTAAATAGGCAAAGTTGAGCGTGGGCAGGGGGTCATTACCCTAAAATTTCAGCCTCCTAGACTTCGTAGTTCCCGAGATATAAATTTACCCGTAAAAACTTTCACGGGGCCATGCGTGTTACCCGCGGGTACGGGGAAGCTGGATTTAAATTTGCGGGGTCACACGTGGATGGGGAACGTTCCTCTAAATTTTCGGCTTCCTAGCTTTTGTGGTTCCCGAGTTGAAAGCTGCGGACAAGTTGCTGCGGACACACACACACACACACAAACACACACACACACACAGAAAACTCCGTGACAATATACGTTTTGTACTGCTGTTACACTGCACAAAATGCATAAAAAGCAGAAAAGCTGAATTTTAAATTTTCCCAGTAAAATTTCGCGTGGTGGTACCTGAGAAATCAGCAGACATGAAAGCTGGATTTGAACTTTCACGGTTGTTCGCTGAGAAGAAGCAAAATACTAAATTTTCAGCTTTCCGCCTTGTCGATTCTCGTGACACGAAATTTCGCTTCAAAACTCCCGGGTGTCCGTGCATGAGACCTAATTATTAAATTTTTAGGATCATTTGTAGGCTTGCAGTTTTTTTTGGTTTTCAAGTTGAAAACCCCAGATAAAGCACACTCTGAACACACACATAGACACACACACACACACACAAACATAGGGGCGCACACAAACAAACACGGCAATATATGTTTTGTGCAGCTGTTGCAACACAAAACGCATAATTAAAAGTAGCGGTCAGTAAGCCGTAATAAAACATATGAGCTGTTGCAGAGAAGCCAGACAACAGTATCAGTCGAAGTATGTCCTGGAAGCGGTTGAAAATTTCAAGTCTTTTTTGGCTGTGAAGTTGAACAAGGCGGGCAATCGTGTTAGCTTCACCTGCACCACGGATAACTACCGTACTGTAATGCTTTACTTTTATCGAAATCGCTCACCAATTTAAAAAAAAAAAAAACTTTTTTTAAAGGTCATAATGAATGTTTTTTTAGTCCATGCTTGAAAGAAAAGTAAAAACTGGCTTCAGTAAGAGAAAACGGATTTCCCAGAATGTTACAGGTGCTTCACTTTCAGACATACCCGAGCATAATGGTTTGGGATGCAGATTCTGATACAGTATCAAATTTCAATTTTATATATGGCATGACTGACCAGCAAAAGTATGAAGCAGATGCCGATACAGCGCTTGCTGCTGGACAACGCCCAAGCACTGCTGCTGCGCGGTTTGTGCTTCTCTCTCTTTGATTCTCCTCCTAATTCACTTTTCAAAACCTGTTCAACTTTTAAAGTAGTCTTTTCACGTTTCGCGCCTTTGCATCATCACAACTGATAATCCCCTTGTGAATGCCAGGACGGAAGCAGTACTCTCGTGATCAAATTGTCAATGATCCCGGCATCCAATTTCCTTTTTTCCTCTTTCATTTTTATGCGTTTTTGCCTATATGCAAATTGCAAAAACGCATATTGGGACGACCCTGTCT